AAGTGCTTTAATTACATGAGGACGGGATGTCCCGTTTGTAAAGCCAAAATGGAGACTTGTGATAGCCGTAGTTGAGGCTGCTCAAATGCTTTCAAATGTACGGAATCATGACCATGTAGATGCTTGGTAGAATGTTAGTGGAGAAAAAGTCAGATTGTGATAGACTGTGAGCTGTTCAAATAATTTTTTTCCGATGTGCATGGGGAATGTTATCATGAACACTTTTTAGAAGTGAATGTTCTGATTTGATTACAAAAAGAGTTCTAAGATACTGGTTTCATAGGAAGAAGGCAGTGGTACACGGCTATAAATAATGATGCTGCAGATTCCAGCATCCCATCAAGTTGATGGTGACAGCCTTATTTCTGTTGAAGATTACTTTTTTAAGTCCTGCTGTCCAGCAGAGTTCCACAAGGCATTGTGAAAAGTGTATCGCAAAGAGAAAAAAAAGTGCAACTACAAGTTTGACTGTTGAATGTGATAAAGATGCAGTGCTGCGCATTGCCAGCTTGATTGTATACATAAAACAAGCTAGTGTAAATATTAACTTTCTTATTGAAGGGGTGCTGAGACTTTAGTAGAAAATCGTAGCCACTTTTATGCAGAAATGCAAAGGAGAAAACATATATAAAAATATATATGCATCATAGTGTTTGCATATGTTATTTACTAGTGTGTTATTTGCCTTTTGTATAATACAAGGTCTCGTTTTTCCAAAAGTACAAACTAGGTCCAAGGCTGATCTTGGTTTTCAAACTGAAGTATGAAGTCTGACAGGAGGCTGGGTGAAATTGCAGAAAAACACTGAATGATTCGAGCAAATCTTGCTTAAAGTTGTAGCCATTTTTGTTGTTCTTTTGTGAAATCATCCCGAGTCTTTGCATTGCAAGTGGGAATGCTATACACTGGCTGATCAAGGGCACAAAGATTTTAAAAAATACATACATTTATTTATTTATTTATTTATTTATTTATTTATTTATTTTTATTATCTATTTATTATTATTTTTTGCCTCGTTTCACACTTGAAATTATAAATTCAAGAAGGACAATTTCACCTTAAAATATAAGACACAGGGATGGACAATTCACAAATTTGTCTCATTAAGAGTGTCATAAGTTTAATAATATTGGTGGGGGGGAGGGGTTATAAACCAGATCCTCACTGTTATATTCATTTGGGGGGCAGGTGAAGCTAAAATTTTCAGTCTTTAAGTCAAGATCAGCCTAGGAACTGATTTGGTTAAATGGGCTCCTAAGCCATTCTTTTTTATTTTATCATAGGTGCCTGTGGTATTACATAAACATATAAATATATATCCCTGTGTTTATCATTGTAAAATATATATGGAGACAACGGGCATGTCCGCAACAAGACTTAACTAAGAAGACCTGAAATGGACTAACTGACACCCCCACATAGGTCATTTAACTTAGGATTTTCATGTTAGAAGCCCAGTGGAAGACCATTTGTGATCTGGTCATCTGGTGATGTCATTTGGACTATTCCTGGTCAAAGTTTGGTCGGGTTGTGAAAATGGCTGTAGTTGAAACAGATATCGCAGTTTGATAGTCACATAACTTCATGTGGGTAAAGATTATAAGCATTCTTGTATGAATACATGTGCATGAAGTACACAAAGTTGGAGTTTTACAGACCTTGTATTTGTATCATTTTGTTAGCAAAGCAGCTTTAAACAAAAAAAAAATCAAAATTCCCTTTGTTGAAATGACCACAGGGTTAGAAGTATTTGTGAAAACAGTTCCGTGTGTGATATCAAAGTCACATAATTCATTTTATTCTCCTTATATCAGTTTCTCTAATTCTCTTTCACCAGTTCTTCTCTCACCTATAAATTTCACAGAACTTTATTCCAAACACTGGTTAAATTCATATAGTAATATAATTATTTTGAAAAAGAATGGTGAAGAGGTCATTGGTACCTAACATGCTCATAGGAGAGTCCAACAGTGCTCTGAAATTTATGCTGGTTCTTTGGTCCGGATGATAATCACGTTGTATTAATTGGAAGTCATTTGTTATTGTCAGATCCAAGAAAGAAAAATGTACAACTGAGAATGGGATTTCTTTTTGTGACGACTGTTTTTGCCTATTGTTATCCATTGCCTTATTTCTGTTGCTATTGCTCATGTAGTTGTGACAAAAAGTTGCAAACAACAACAGGCTTGCTCAATTATGTGTATTCGGGAATGGCATGAGAAATGTCGTCATTTGTTAAGATCTGTTTTATGAACATTAAGAACAATTGTTGACTGGAAA